TTAAATTTACATATATTTAAGTGTTTATCACGGTTAAAAGTATGGAAACTGTACATTTGCATTATAAACACTTTAGAAAAAGATTAGATAAAATGACCTAAAATAAACAATAGTATGCACTAACACATTTTTAAAGTTGTTTGTAAAGTTTTAATCCGTTAACATTTATTTAATGCACAATGAATGAAGTGAACAAACATGAACAACCAAGTGTTTGTATTAAATAACATTTACAAACATTAATTAATGTTGTAAAAATATATTGTTCACTCAATGTGTTGATGTGAACTAAGTAATGTTGATGAATGGTAGCTATCTTATTGTAGCGTTACCAAACTATACAGGAGATAAAACATGTTTTATTTGACTTGTCTGTACTTTTATTTAATCTTAAAACTGCATTCATATTTAATTTTAAATAGGCTTTTTAAACCTGCTGAGTTATAAAGGCAAGAATACGCCTAGAACTGGCACTGACATAATAAATAGGGATGCGTCGATACTAATACCAGTACTCTGGTGTCGGGTGGATACTACTGTGCTCATGTACTCGTAAAACTACCCCGAAAGCACTTTAGAGGCCGTTCACATATCGCGCGTGTTTTTTATTATATTTTTTGCGCGTGCTTATTCTTTCCAAAGCGCTTGCTCTCACGCGGCGTCTGTCGTTGCTATGCAACGAGTTTTTATTATGAGCGCGCTTGCCTCGCGCCTATATTTGAAATTGCGACTTTGCATGTAATCGGCCTCTTATGGCAACGTGACATTAGCCTAATCCAAACATTAGCAAACATCCAGACATTAGCCTAATCCAGCCTTTCCTCCTTTCGTGTCAACAAGTGGATTCAGAGAGAGAGAGCCATATCAGCGTTATGAAGAGGACGCGACTGTGCACCTTTCAGACAGCGCGTCTAGAACTGGATTAACCTGGTATTCGGTACCTAGAAAAGCTGGTACCGTAACATTTTTTTTTTTTAGTACCGACTTGGTACCGAAGTACCGAGTTTTTTGACAACACTAGAAGTCACACTACAGGACTGTGTGTCAAATCTTCTAGTAAAATGTGATCGCAACAGTCATTAATCTGCAGTTGGTGAACATGTCAAACTAATGGTGTGTTCACACCGAACACGAATAGCGCGTCAGGCGCGAATGATTTCAATGTTAAGTCAATGCAAAGACGCGTTACGCGCGTAAAAAATTCCTGCGGCGCGAATGAGGCGTGTAGAGCGCGCGCGGAAGACGCAAATACACCTCGTTCCCGCGAATTGGGCGTCTGCCGCATTAAGCGCGTTACGCGCGAATGATTTAGTTAGTGCTATTTGTGCATTCACGCGTTTGACACGAATTCACGCGTTTGACGCGAATTCGAAAAATCTGAACTTTTGCGTCAATTTGCGCCACGTTAACCAATCAGGAGCCTAGCTACTTGCTCACGAGGTGAAGTATCTGAATGCTTCAATAAATTATTTTGTAATATGACTAAATGCATGTGGGATTATGCACAACAAAGCAAATCTTTTATCACTTCAAACTTTATTTCTATATACGAGACATGTTCATATTGTATTGAATGTTATTCATTCCATATCAAGATTATATGAAATATTATTATGATGTAAAGACAACCAACATACATGTGCATAAGTTCGTGTCTGGACGCGAGAGAGAAAATAATCACAGGACAGGTTAATAACTTTTGAAGGCTGGCTCTATTTATCATCAAAACAAAAATAAATGACAGCTAGATTAGATGGATGAGGGCGAGGGTGATCCTCGCTCCGATGCGGGACAACAGGTCATCAAACTGGGCGCGTGACAGGTGGAAGTACCGCTGACAGCGGCCGTCATCCAGCGCAGCTCCTGGAGCGAGCAAATGGTGAAACTCGCCAAACGGTTCGCCTCCGAAGGGTCCGGTGGACACAAATATACGGCGACAATGATCCCCACGGCGCTGTTCTGGTCTCCAGAGTAAATACCAAGACAGCAAACTGACATTGAATCAATGTGGAAACGACGTCTCTCATGACATCGAAACAACGTTGATTTTGCTCATCGAATTAACGTTGAACCAACGTCAGACGCGGCATTCTTCAAAGCGAAATGAAAATCGAAAATTGGTTTGCTTTTATAATGTTGAAACAACGTTGATTTCAAGTTGTTTTTTCGTTAGTTTTGAAAGAATGACTCGTCTGACGTTGGTTCAACGTTAATTCGATGAGCAAAACAATGTCAGATCAACGTTGTTTCGATGTCATGTTTCCACGTTGATTCAATGTCAGTTTGCTATCTGGGTACTCTCGATGAATGCTCGATCGACATAAAAACAATGGCCGCCAACGGATTTCGATTCTGACGTGCGTCACACGTGTACATTTCCCTTCAAACTTTTGTTTTTACGCGCGCCAGTTTCACTCTTGACACGCGAATTAACACAAAGTGGTCAAGTGTCAAACTAGACGCGTCATGCGCGAATTTGATGCGCTATTCGCGTTCGGTGTGAACGCAGCATAATGATCAAAGACTTCTGATTTTGGCCTAGGATCTGAGGAATCTTTTAGGATTCAGACAATTTGTTTTCGAATTATTTACTTGTCAATCGAATTATCTGAAGTTCGGAAAAACGCAAATAAAAGCTGGTAGACGGCCAAATCGTGACTAAAATCGTACAGTGTGAACCCATTTAAGTCTACGAAAGAGTAACTTCACAGAATTTTTTTTTGAAAAACTGGATATAAATTCCATGTCATATTACGTGTTCTATTAAATTTATATAATTTCGAGTGTAATTTATATTGGTAATGCTGAGTAGAGAATTAAATGGAGCCTGGTTTAACCTTGAGGATGTTTGCGAAAGCTACTGCTCAAACCCTAATTTGACTGTGTGTGTGTGTATATTGAATGTCTATCACACACTCTAAATGTGGCTTATGACATCCACCCTCCTTTCTCCATGAGTGTTTCCTCACAGATATCATACACCATTTCTAAAAACGGATCCACAGCCTCATAAGCGCACGTGAAGACGTTTAACCCTTACGCAAAGCGCACAGGAGACTTGACTCAGTTGTTTGGCATTAGCATGTTTCTAAGCTAACAGAATGATACTCTATTAAGATTTATTTAGAACTATCTATTCATATGTATTAGTGTCTATTGTTTAGAACATCCTTTATATCAGAAGTGTACTTACAATGTCTTAAAATGATAGACCTGTTTCACATACAGTACAATTCATCTGTGGCCTTTTTGACACGAGTTATTACAAACAAAGTCACCATGAAAATCAAAATTGACCATTCTTATTTTTTAAAGAATATTGAATTTCATTATGCAAATATTGCATTATAAATGATTTATCCATGCACATCATTATTTTGTATGTCCCCTCGTAATTTTTAATCAAAATAACTTGATATAACTCCGATGAAGGGTTTATTGGGACGAAGGCGGGGCAACCTGTCACTCACATGACAGCCAATGATCCAATCAAATCCCAATGGACAAAATCAAGTCCCGCCCTTATTTGTTCTTGTTCAAGAAGCCGTTTCACACCGATATACATCAGAATAGGGAAAATACCATCAAAACGTCTGATTCATGCTGACTTTAAACGTGAAATCTATTTTGAGGTGGATTGTATGCACATTCAAAATGGTAATTATTAACTAAATCACCTGGATTCATTCCAGAAAATGTTTGTCAGCTTGATATTGTGTGTGAATCTCGACAAAACATGATAATTTGCCTCATCATTGTATATTGCTTCATATAAGACTGTGTCATCTTTTCATTCAAAAAGGCTTAACACCAGACAGAACTCAGTCTCGTCTAGGACGTTTCTGGAATGCAGTGTTAAGCCAGCAGTGAATGCTTTTAATATGGTGAAATGAACATGCACTGAGGTAGCTCAGTAAGTGTTTTTAGAACAGAAATGCAATGTATCTGTGGTCAAATACTGTATTTATGTGTAAAAATAAAACCGTTTATCAGAAATGCTGAACCAGCCTGAGTGTGAGTGTGCGCGTGCGTGTGTGTGCACACCTTATCTGCAAAGTGCTGAATAATGAAAGCTTTATTGGACATCCGTGGCTTTTCAAAAAGTGCACACGTCTTCAAATGAGTGTTATACAGTTTCTGAGCCCAGGAGTCATCTGAACCCTTCGGCATCTAAGAGAAAGAGAGCAAAAAAAAAGAGTCTGTACAGTATATGAAGGAAGAACTGTAGTCTCAAACAGGATTCCAATCACACAACACAGTTTTTTTGTTTTGTTTTTACAGTGATGTACACTAAGCTACCATTTAAAGGTTTAGGGTTAGTATAAAAAAAAAAAAAACAGACAGGAAAGGCAATCTGGTTTCCACGAAAACCATTAAACAGCACGACTGTTTTGAATATTGATAATAATGTTTCTTGAGCATCAAATCAGCAGATTTCTGTGACACTGAAGACTGGAGTAAAGGTTGCTGAATATTCAGGTTTGCCATCCCAGGAATAAAATTACATTTGAACAGATATTTTAAATTGTAATTATATTTCACAACATTACTGTTTAATTAACCCCCTGGGGTCAGCGGTCACTCTGGCGATCCCAGCTCGCTTTTTTTCATATCAGTGCAAAAGAGACTCAAAATACTCTGTTGATTTTGATCTTCCAAAATCAACAGAGTGTTATACATCATTCGATCCTGATAAGTTTCTATTTTTTGTGTGTGTGCTTTTTGCCAAATAAAGAAAAATAAACATGATGCGCATTCTGCCATCTCTCTCAATGTGAAGTCCATTCTAAAACATGTCCGAAAATGAACTGTAACTCAGCAAATACTCAGTCACGCAGACTTGAATTCTTTTCTCTTGAAGACTTTTCTCCACAAGATACATTTGATACTTTTTCTCTCTGTCTAAATGTTCACTCCTCGCAAGTATAACTTACATTTTACAATGCAGGGACTGTAACTAGAGATATGCTAGTTAGAAAAAACAGTAATCATTACTTTATTTAGCCAGAAAAAGTTCATTGTGGTTTCCAAGCTCATTCATGTTAACGTTAGCGGTCTTCCACTGATGATAGTGGCATTAGCTAGCTTTGTGGTTAGCTAGTCTATGATGAGCCATAATTTAACAATAGATAACATCATACTGCAAATTGTAAAACATACATTTTCAATATAACAGGCCAAGGAGAAATGATTGAAGCATATTTCATCCGTTTTTATTTTTATTTTTTAAATATTCATTTATCGGCCATTATAACTGCCGATACCGATATTTTGGAAAATGCCTAATATCGGCCGGCCGATATATCGGTCTGGCTCTACTAATATATCATAAAAACGAAATGTTACAGACAAAATATGAATGTTTAGACAAGATTTTGTTGATTAGTTTTGGATAGATTATAAAGTTTTTACTGTAAAGACTACGCTCACATCAAATAAGCTTTTGTTTGCCAATTTCTGCTCATATGTATAGTATTATATAGTATAATATTACATGGTTACAAAGAAAATATTAGGTTTAACCTTGCAAAGGCAGAGTTAATAAGTGATTTTATGACTCTAGTCTCATATTCTAGTCTCGTTTACTTTTAAAGAGTGTGTATATTGCGTTGCCCATTACCTCATAGTACAGTAAGTGACTTAGTGTAACTACAATTTTTGTAAAATGTTTTCTGTGGTCGACAGATGCTGTTGAAGAAGCTTAATTTGTATTGAATCCCAAGAAATGATAAATGTGTCACACATACGCATCTATTAAAATCATATAACATTCTACATTACCAACTGCATGTAGTTAAACAACAATATTGTTCAATTGAATTATTAATTTGCAAATTGTCACATATTTACGCATCACCTTGGATTTATATGAATATTTTCAATTTTTTTTTTAATACAGCCAATCACAGTAAAAGTACCTCAACATCTTAATTTACAATAAGACTGTGAAACTATACCTTGCACTCTTCATCCAACAGGTCCAGGACGCCCATCTTGGCCTCAATGAGGTTGATACATGGCTGATTATCATAGAAATCAATGAGAGTCCATGGTATCTGCTCTTTCATGTACTCCTCCTGCTCCAACTTAAACACATGCTGCACACGAGAAGACAGGAAGACAACAGGAGATACATCACAATAAATGAACAGAATAATCATCAATCAAACTTGAACTGGTGTCGTGAGAAGTGTGTCAGAGGTCTCACCATGTTGAACTGTTGCTGTAGTTTTTCATTGGCATAATTAATACAGAACTGTTCAAAACTGTTGATTTCAAAAGTCTCAAACCTGGAAGAATAAAACAAAACGTCACAATTGACTTCTGTAACTCTAAACTGAACCAAATGTGTGTGTGGCTGTATGAACACACACCCGTAAATGTCCAGGACTCCGATGAACGAGTGCTGCTTGACCGTAGAATGTAGCGATTTGTTCACATGGTCCACGATCCAGTTGAAGAGTTTGGCGTAGATATGTTTAGCGAGGGCATCGCGGGCATTTATGGCCTGTAGTTTGGGGACGGGCTTTATGTATGTCTCGGTTGCTGTCTTCAGCTTCTTATGGCACAGCCAATGAGACATGTCTTGATACGTCACACCCATCAATTCACAAAACACACTCAGGTGACCATTATTTGGCTGGACGGAAAAAAAGAGAGAAAATTACATCACTTCACAATGAAAAAAATTTAGGTCACACTTTATATGACGTGTCTTTTTAACCACTATGTACTTAACATTTTTATTTAAGTGCAATGTACTTATGTTCATATTATATTGCAAAACACAAAAAATAAGCAGCTATTGAGGTGGGATACTGGTAAGGTTAGGAACAGGTTTGTTGGTATGGTTGGGTTTAAATGTGGTTTAAGAGGTAAGGAAGGGATCAACAGTGTAATTACATTTATATATATACACACACACACACACACACACACACACACACATACACACACATATATATATATATATATATATATATATATATAATATTGTGAAATATTATGACAATTTAAAATGACTGTTTTCTATTTTAATTTATTTTAAAATGTAATTTTAAAGCTGAATTTCAACATCATTACTGTTGTTGATTACACATCAGTTTTCAGTGTCACATGATCCATCAAAAATCGTTCTAATATGCTGATTTTATGCTCAAAAAACATAAATTATTATTTTCAATGTTGAAAACAGTCGTGTACCATTTTTTCCCCAAAAAATCTATGATGAATAGAAAGTTCGAAAGAACAGCATTTATTTAAAATATAATCTTTTCTAACATTATAAATGTCTTTACTGTAACTTTTGATCAATTTAACTCATCCTTGATGAATAAAAGTATTTTCTAATTTCTTTCCCGCAAAAATAAAAAAATAAATTCATACTGACCCCAAACTTTTGAATGGTTGTGATTAATGTTACAAAAGCTTTCCATTTCAGATCAACTCTGTTCTTTTGAACTTTCTATTCATCAAAGAATCCTGAAATAAAAATGTAAAAAACTGTTTTCAACATGGATAATAATCATAAATGTTTCTCGAGCATCACATTATAATAATTTCTGTAGGATCATGTGACACTGAAGACTGGAGTAATGATGCTGTAAATTCAGCTTTGATTACAGGAATAAATTACACTTCACTATATATTCACATAGAAAACCGCTGTTTTAAATTGTAATAATATTTCACAATATTACTGGGTTTTTTTTTTGTATTTTTTATCAAATAATTGCAGCCTTGGTGAGCAGAAGCGACTTTGAAAAACATAAAAAACCTTACCGATCTAAAACTTTTGACCGGTAGTGTATATAAACACCCACATAGTATATACATACAGTGACATATAAAAGGATATACAGTACATTATATATACAATTTCAACTGCCTGACTTTTTTTCATTTAGGCGCAAAATGTAACTATATTATCTTCCAGATCTTATAAACATTAACAGCATGATTTTCTGGAAAGCTGCTTTGAAACAATGTTCATTGTGAAAAGCTCTAAACAAAGTTTCTGACATAAAATGCATTCCACAGTGTTACACACAATTATTTGGTTTCTATTTTCGCCATATATAGATAGTCCTACCCACAGTGAAATCATATTGGTGCAAAATGCCACTTAAAAGTCAACATGAAACTTACTGGAATGATACTGCTGTCCGAGTCTCTATCCTTTACTTCCACGTTCCCCAGGTGCAAAATCGAAGCCAGAATCCGAAACAATCCCATCTGATAGGACTCATTTACACCTGAAGAGAGACATCAACAAATGAAAAACAGGAAAAACAAAAACATTTTATGTCTAGATTAAATCCAACAGTGCTTGGATTTAATGTTGCAAAGCTAATACAAAGAATTTTAAAAATGAATAATTGGCTAGTCAAATTATAAAAAAGAACAATTGTATCAATACTTTTGACACTGAATGAAAGACATTTATTTGTTTATAACCCACATTTCTCTGAGTTTGTACCACAATGCACTCTGGGACTGCCCAGTCCGCTATCAGGGGCGTCATGCACCTAGTTTTCAAAGATTCCGAGTCATGATAGTCAAGTGGTATATTATTATAGTATGCATAGTGGCTGGGTTCAAATCCTGATATAAAATCAATTTTATTTAGAAACAAGCTAAACTGCAACTGATCTCGACAATTTCATGTATGGAAAACAGCGTTATGACAGAAAAAAAACAAAAAAAACAACCCCAAGTAAAAAGAACTATTACGGTTTATCATAAAACTTAACTTAAAATTTCACTGAAATATGACATAATTTTGATATATGAACTGATGCAAGAACATACAATATTAACTTTTATTTGGTGTTGCGTTGTCAAATAATGTTTTGAAAATTTTGGACAGAATCCCCCAACCACCGACACAAAAACTCCTTGGTTCTCAATGAGTATTATGTCCAATTTTGGCTTTGAAGCAGTGAATTACACAAAAAGGTGACACGTTGGAGGCAATAATATATATATATATATATATATATTCACATACATACATACACTACCGGTCAAAAGTTTTAGATCAGTAATATTTTTTATGTTTTTAAATGAAGTCTCTTTGCTCACCAAGGCTGCAATTATTTTATAAAAATACAAAAAAAAAACAGTAATATTGTGAAATATTATTACAATTTAAAACGTCTCGGTTACGTATGTAACCCTCGTTCCCTGAGTAGGGAACGGAGACGTTACGTCAGAAGTGACGGAGATTGGGGGATTTCGCATAGAAAGCCAATCCTCTTCGAGTATTTAAACACGAGCCAATGGCATGCAATGCCTTGGGGCTGCGGAAATTTGCATAGCGTACTCCGCCCTACTCCGTGAGTATAAAAGGAGGAAGTGAACGCAACCGCAGTATGTCTTCGCTGAGGAGCCAAGACTGAACTCGGCATCTACCCAGCGATACAGCAGAAGTGGCAGGGAGACGTAACGTCTCCGTTCCCTACTCAGGGAACGAGGGTTACATACGTAACCGAGACGTTCCCTTTCGTAGTCACTTCGAGTTACGTCAGAAGTGACGGAGATTGGGGGTCTGTGCCATCACGCCATCTTCAAGCTGTCTTCCAGTGCCCTGCGAAAGACTGGACCCCCGAGCCTTACCTCTTTTTTTTTTTTTTGGGGGGATCCGACTTTGACACAGGATTACCAAGGTACACTGGGAAAACATATCCCGAAGGGACATGCTACCAGTTGCCTACCGAAGGGAGGACTTATGAATACACATATGGCCACATAGGAACGCATATGGAACACTGGAGTACCAACCGCAGGTGGCTACTAATTTAAACTCCAGGGGTGGCAGATGGCTTGCCAAGGGAAGACACATGCTCAGAGAGGCTTACAGTGGATAATACACATGAGACGGTTACCATGGGGAACCGTGCGCATGGAGGCACCTAGCTAGCATCCAGAGCAACGCAGTGGTGCCCGCATCGTCGGTGCTGGAGGACTCAAGCCTTCAATGGAAGAACTGAGGAAATATCGCACTTATCCAGTCCGGGGAGTGGAGTGGCGAGCAAGCGAAGACACCTGAGCGGGTCCAGTACCGGCCGGAACGAGTACGAGAGAGGACACTGGCTCAATTCGCAGATTATAGAATCTGGCGAAGGTGTTGGGTGTCGCCCAGCCTGCAGCTCTGCAGATGTCTGTTAGCGAGGCGCCGTGCGCTAAAGCCCAAGAGGAGGCCACACTCCGAGTGGAATGGGCCGTCACACCAAGGGGACACGGACGGCCTTGCTGCTGGTAAGACAAAGCAATGGCGTCCACAATCCAGTGGGACAGCCGTTGCTTTGAGAGAGCCCTTCCCTTCTGGCTCCCTCCATAACAGACAAAGAGCTGGTCTGAGGTCCTGAAACACTGCGTCCTGTCGACATAGGTGCGGAGAGCACGTACCGGACAGAGCAGTGCCAAGGCTGGGTCTGCCTCCTCCAGGGGCAGCGCTTGCAGGTTCACCACCTGGTCCCGGAAGGGAGTGGTGGGAACCTTGGGCACGTATCCAGGCCGGGGTCTCAGGATCACGTGAGAGTAAGCCGGCCCGAACTCCAGGCACGCTTCGTCAACGGAGAATGCGTGCAGGTCCCCCACCCTCTTGATGGAGGCCAATGCAACCAGGAGTGCTGTCTTCATGGACAGAAACTTTAACTCTACTGATTGCAAAGGCTCAAAGGGATGCCTCTGCAGAGCACTTAAAACTACTGAGAGGTCCCAAGAGGGTACGAGGGGAGGACGAGGCGGATGCAGCCTCCTCGCTCCCCTCAGGAACCTGATGACCAGGTCGTGCTTCCCTAAGGACTTACCCTCCACTGCTTCATGAGAAGCGGCAATGGCCGCAACATAAACCTTAAGGGTGGAGGGCGACAGCCTGCGCTCCAACCCCTCTTGCAGGAAGGAAAGCACGACACTGATCGAACATCTCCGGGGGTCTTCTCCGCGAGAAGAGCACCAATTGACGAAGAGGTTCCACTTCAACGCATAAAGGTGTCTCGTGGACGACGCTCTTGCGGAAGTGATGGTCGCCGCCACCGCAGGTGGCAGCGAACTCAAACCTGCCTCGTCCCGTCCAGGAGCCACACGTGCAGCCTCCAGAGATCGGGACGAGGGTGCCACAGAGTGCCCCGTCTCTGAGAGAGTAGGTCTTGTCTCAGAGGAATAGGCCAAGGAGGTGCTGTCGCGAGGAGCATGAGATCGGAGAACCACGTCTTGGTGGGCCAATAGGGGGCTACCAGCAAGACCTGCTCCTCGTCCTCCTTGATCTTGCACAACACCCGTGCAAGGAGGCTCACTGGGGGAAACGCATACTTGCGTGGGCCCCGTGGCCAGCTGTGCGCCAGCGCATCCGAACCGAGAGTGCCCCAGGTCAGAGAATAAAACTGGGCGCAGTGGGCTGAGTCCCGAGAGGCGAACAGATCTATCTGTGCCTCCCCGAACTCTTCCCAGATCAGCTGGACCGACTGGGGATGGAGTCGCCATTCGCCGGAGATGGGACGGACCCGTGACAGCTCGTCGGCTGCCCAGTTCCGGTCTCCAGGAATGTAAACTGCACGAAGGGACCTCAGATGCTTCTGACTCCATATCAAGAGGTGGCGGGCGAGCTGCGACAACTGGCGCGAGCGTAGACCCCCCTGGTGGTTGATGTACGCTACAGCCGTAGTGTTGTCTGAGCGGACAAGCACATGCTGGCCCTTGAGCAACGCTCTGAAGCGGTGCAGGGCGAGCCGTACTGCCAGCAGCTCGAGGCAATTGATGTGCATGAGGCGCTGGGCTCCCGTCCAGGAGCCGGCGGCTGCATGCCCATTGCACATGGCACCCCAACCCGTGGTAGATGCATCTGTGGAGACGATGAGATGTCTGGAAACTCGCTGAATAGGGACGCCCGTCTGTAAAAAGCTGAGGTTCGACCACGGGAAGAAGGTTCGCCGGCATGCCGGAGTCACTGGGACTCGGAGCGAGCCGCGATGCCATGCCCACCTCGGGACTCGATCGCGAAGCCACAGCTGAAGCGGTCTCATATGAAGCAAACCGAGCGGCGTTGCCGCGGCCGCGGATGCCATATGCCCCAGGAGCCTCTGAAATAGTTTTAGTGGAACCGCACTCTTGCCCTCGAACTGTCGAAGACAAGTCAGCAGTGAGTGCGCGCGCTCGTTCGTGAGCTGCGCGGACATGGCGACCGAGTCTATCTCCATGCCGAGAAAAGAGATCCTCTGCACGGGGCAAAGTTTGCTCTTTTCCCGGTTGACCCGAAGGCCCAGACGGGCTAGGTGCCGGAGCACCAAGTCTCTGTGTTCGCAAAGCTGAGCTCGAGAGTGTGCTAGTATCAGCCAGTCGTCGAGATAATTCAGGATGCGAACCCCGTGTTCGCGAAGGGGAACAAGGGCTGCCTCGACGATCTTCGTGAAGACGCGAGGGGACAGAGCTAACCCGAATGGGAGAACGGCGTACTGATATGCCTGGCCCTCGAAGGCAAACCGAAGAAACGGCCTGTGTCGAGGTAAAATGGACACATGGAAGTACGCGTCCTTCAGGTCGATCGCTGCAAACCAATCCTGATACCGAACACATTCGAAAATGCGTTTGGCCGTGAGCATTTTGAACGGTAGTCGATGGAGAGAACGGTTCAAAATGCGCAGGTTCAGGATCGGTCGTAACCCACCGGTCTTCTTGGGGACAATGAAGTAGGGGCTGTAAAACCCGGACCTCACCTCGGCTGGAGGGACCGTCTCGATTGCACCCTTCGCCAGCAGGGTCGCAATCTCCGCTCTCAGGACTGGGGCATTGCCACCAACTATCGTGGAGCGAACTCCCCTGAAGCGGGGAGGAGACCGTGCGAACTGAATCGCGTAGCCGAATCTGATCGTTCTGATGACCCAGCGGGATACCCCGGGAAGCACTAGCCAGGTTTCCAGGAAGTGAGCCAACGGGGTCATGTGAACCACAGACGTCCCCCCGGAGGGGCAGCGTGGCGGGTCGACTGGCACGCGTGCAGGGGTTACCCCGCTCGGATGCGTCGAAGCCCGCTCCCCGACAGAAGGGACCAGGGAAAGCGGAGCGTTCCACGGGGGTCCGTTCTGCCGGGGGTCTGACGACAGAGGGGGAAGGGATTGGCGTAGCCCGAGGACGACACACGCACCCTTCCGCGCCCTCCGAGACAGAGAGGAGTGAGTGGGCCGACACACTGGGGCATCGAGGGCACTCACTCCAGTCTGTGAGCTCAGTGAGGATGTCAAGTCTTTCTTTAACCAGTTCAGGGTGCTGCCCACCCGTGGGTGAGCAGCGGGGAGCTGAGAACAAAAGATTCTCCCCCGGCCCTCCACCGGGGGAAGGAGGGGGCCTGCTACCACCTCCTGTGAAAGACTCGAGATCGACACTGAGCTGCCTGTGTCAGGATCTTCGCTTAGCCTGGCGTTTAGCGGGGCGAGCGGCCTGAGGGGGCTGTGACGCCGGCCTGCGGCCTCCTCGACGCCGGGGCCCGGGTGAAGGCTGCTGCTGGGGCCGGGCGGGAGGGAGGGGAGCCGCAGGGGGGCGTCCTCGGCGGCGAGCAGGGGGAGGCACCTGTGCCGACGACTGGGTGGAGGCAGCAGCTGGTCGTCGGGGCAGGATGTGTTTAATGGCCTCCGTCTGCTTCTGGGCAGTGGAGAACTGTTGGGCGAAGTTCTCCACCGCACCGCCGAAAAGGCCAACCTGGGAGAGCGGAGCGTCGAGCAGACGAGTCCGCTCAGCGCTCCGCGTGTCCGACAGGTTGAGCCAAAGATGACGCTCCTGAACCACGCTAGTGGCCATCACCTGACCAACGGCGCGAGCAGCCACTTTCGTTGCCCGGAGAGCAAGGTCAGTGGCGGACCGCAGTTCTTTAAATGCCGTCGGATCATGTCTCTGAGCAACTTCGCTTGGAAGACCTGCAAAGTGGTCATAGCATGCAGAGCGGAGGCCGCCTGTCCCGCCGCTCTGTAGGATCGCGCCGCCATAGCAGACGAGAACCCACAGGCTTTGGATGGGTGCTTAGGAGGACCACGGGTGGAAGCGCTCTGTGGACACAGCTGCATCGCAACAGAGCGCTCCACCGGGGGCATCCCAGTGTACCCACGGGCGGCCCCGCCGTCGAGGGGGGGAAAGGCGGGGGAGAGATCGCGCTCTCGAGTGGACAAAGGAGCCCCCCAAGAGCGCGATAACTCCGCATGCAGCTCGGGGAAAAAAGGTATTGGAGTCGGCCGTGGCTTTGCAGCGGCAGCCTTGTCCAAAAACCAATTATCCATCCGTGAGAGATCGGGGCAGGATGGAGGTTTCCATTCTAGCCCGATACTCCCAGCGGCTCGAGACAGCATGGCCGTCAGCTCGGGATCTGACGCGGACAACGCTGGGACTCCCGAAGGAGGCAACGCAGCCGGATCTTCCTTTCCCGAGGAGTCAAGCCCGCCTAGTGATGCTGTGATAGACATCGCATCATCATCTGGGGCGCTGCTCGAAGCAGCTGGTGCCGCCGAAGAGACAACCGACCGAGTCGAACTAGCGCCCGCTGGCTCACGCACTGAGGCGGGAGGTGTGGCCCGAGGAATCGTCGGGGCTTTATCCCACACCGTCACCGTTAGATCGCCCGGTCCCCGGGTCGACGGGCCCCCTTTCGTGAAGGAAGCCGATCGAGTAGGGGGGACCGGGGCTCTCACTCTAGTGAGATCATTGAGCCGCGACCTCAGTGTGGAGATGGTCATGCTCCCACAGAAGGAACATGAGTCATCCACGAACGCTGCTGCTGCATGCTGAATGCCCAAGCATACAAAGCAGCGTTCGTGACCATCAGATGACGATAGAAATCTACCACATCCAGAAGGGCACGGGCGAACCATCTTTAAAAAGACGTGCCGCGTGCAGCTCTTTCACAGAGAGGAGAGAAATTCACTCTTTCAGCGCTGAGGCTACCAGGGAGAAGCGCAAAGTCTGGCAAACCACTGCACAGATCGCAGGCAATGCAGAATCTCGCTGGGTACCGCCGTCACACCAACACTGAAGAGGACGCTCGTCTCGAAGAGTCTTGAATTAGCTTTTCAGGAGTGAAGAGGTTCTCTTGGCTCCGAAGCGAAAACATACTGCGGTTGCGTTCACTTCCTCCTTTTATACTCACGGAGTAGGGCGGAGTACGCTATGCAAATTTCCGCAGCCCCAAGGCATTGCATGCCATTGGCTCGTGTTTAAATACTCGAAGAGGATTGGCTTTCTATGCGAAATCCCCCAATCTCCGTCACTTCTGACGTAACTCGAAGTGACTACGAAAGGGAACAGCGGTTTTCTATGTGAATATATAGTGAAGTTTAATTTATTCCTGTGATCAAAGCTGATTTTACAGCATCATTACTCCAGTCTTCAGTGTCACATGATCCTACAGAAATGATTATAATATGATGCTCAAGAAATATTTATGATTATTATCCATGTTGAAAACAGTTTTTTACATTTTTATTTCAGGATTCTTTGATGAATAGAAAGTTCAAAAGAACAGAATTGATCTGAAATGGAAAGCTTTTGTAACATTAATCACTACCATTCAAAAGTTTGGGGTCAGTAAGAATTTATTTTTTATTTTTGGGGGAAAGAAATTAGAAAATACTTTTATTCATCAAGGATGAGTCAAACTGATCAAAAGTTACAGTAAAGACATTTATAATGTTAGAAAAGATCATATTTTAAATAAATGCTGTTCTTTTGAACTTTCTATTCATCATAGATTTTTGATAAAATCAGCATATTAGAATGATTTCTGAATGATCATGTGACACTGAAAACTGATGTGTAATCAGCCACAGTAATGATGTTGAAATTCAGCTTTAAAATTCCATTTTAAAATAAATTAAAATAGAAAACAGTCATTTTAAATTGTCATAATATTTCACAATATTACTGTGTCATTTATCAAATAAAGCAGCCTTGGTGAGCAGAAGAGACTTCATTTAAAAACATAAAAAAATCTTACTGATCTAAAACGTTTGACTGGTAGTGTATATTTAAGTATTTTAGAAGTCACATTGGTTAAAAAATCTGAGGGGGCACATGCAGATTCTAATAAAAAAAATGACAGTAAAACGCTTTTGGTGTACAGTAGTACATTGTAAAGCTCTATATATCTTAGCCTTGTTCATTCATTTATTCACTCAATCACTCACTCATAATCTGCGATTTACTTCCTCTATCGCATCTTAAAAACATGAGAAAATATTGAACTTTCAGTCCAACCTAGCAGTGAGAAGGCGTTCCTTGTGATCGACATCTCCTTGGCATCATCTATTCCATCTATCACTGGGTTCCTGCCCTGTTTGGTGTAGTGAAAACTATCAGCCTTCCCTGTGGAGAAAGAAACATCCACAAACTTTTATTATATCACTCAAATAAAAAATGATTGTACCACCAGACTTTATGAAAGATCTACCCCAAGGCTGGGTCATCATCAAACCCAAATGTAGTTGTAAAATAGTCAATCTTATGAACCAATCATTTCTTATGTCAGATATGTTCAATTCAAGGAGAAAGTAGAGTTAAAATAAAGAGACGAACTGCAGCATTTATTTTGCTCAAACATATGTACAGAAAAGTGATTTCCGTGCAGGGGCTCAAATGAATTACTGAATATTTTCTAGTCTGATTATTTGAAATGTACCATCTGAACGTCCTGATTAACCGAAATGAACAGGACATTTCAATTTAACCTGAAGAGGAGGACAGTGTGAGTGAAATATACTTGATCAGTTTGCTGGGTTCTAACCTAATAAGATTCCCAAATGAGTTGGTTCCTTTTAGTGAATCAAAATCACAACTTACAACTGCATTATGTTGCAAAAAAAGACTCGTCAGTTCTGGCAGATCACATCAATCAAGTTCGCATCAGCTGACTCTCAGCTGATGCAATAGGAATACGACGCCTATCACAGCATCCCTATATAAAAGGTCCATTCAGTATTAGCAGCAGCTTTATTGGGTTTCTCAGGAGCTCATTACCCTCCTCCACCCCCCGATCCACCTCTCATCCATTCAGGACTTGACCTTCTGATATTCCTCTACGAATCAAGACTTATTTTTTCTTGAATTGCTGTTGAACATTAATGATGAACCATACAGCCAATCCAAAGTATATACTACTTGTCAATCATCTTTGCCAATATAATAGTGGTCCTGACAGAACTGAGAGTTAAATCGGTGTAGTTACTGACTGGCTGGTTCATATGAACTAAAATGAATTGAGTTAAATATCAAACATTCATTCGGACACACTATGCTCATCAAAAGAGCTTTAATTATCCAGGAAACTCCCCAAACTTTAATAAATAGAAACTATTTGCATTAATAAAATCTATTCTCTTATACACAGACCCTAAAATACAAAACCTTCTACATAGATTTAATGAGGGATACACTGTTGCTTGGCAACAGAGACCGTATTGAGAGATTCACGCACACACAAACTCTCACATTAACGGGGCGTCAGCTGAGCAGGAAGTCAGCTGAGTAGGCAAACAGGAGGAGACAGAGCACAGAGCCAGCAGTGTGTGTATGTGTGTGTGTGTGTTTCAAAGCAAGTGGGGGAAAGAAACAGATGATAGGGAGAGGTGTGTGTGGATCCAAACTACAGTAGGTCCAGTATTCATATGCGACTGTGTGTGTGTGTGTGTTTGTGTATTTAGACCAGCACAGCCCGCCTCTCAGTAGGAAATCTCTGATAGCCGCTCGACATGCTGTGTCAACACGAACACACTCTAATCAGACACGTTACCCACAAACGGACATTCACCTATTTAAATAGGGACATGCCATAGACTTCTTAAGTATGCATAATTGTTTCCAGAGACTTCATAATTTTTTATATAAAATTGATTATAAGTACTACAGACTAACCCTACTGTATATACATTTTTAAAGGGTACATATCATGCTTTTAAATCATTCATTTTTACATATAAATCATACCGTTGTGGTCTATATAAAACATAACTGCAATGCTTGGGTCTGAATTCCTCATTATTTTAGCTCCACAAGCCCCTTTCTACCCCTTTTCTGATGTGCGTCTTTGAGCGACCCGTTTCAATGCGGCCCCTTTAAATAAAAAGGAGATGCGTCACACCCCGCCCGCTCTCCAGGTCGTTGAGTTCACGGTCAGTTCAACTCCCCACTTTCGGCCATTATTGTAGTTTGATTAGAGATATACGATTATATACGATACCTTCAAAGAACATTTTTATTCACACGTTAATAAAATGTCAACAACAGAAGACTTGTCCATTAAGCCTTACATATTCAAGCCAGAGCGAGCGATTCGAAGACGACGACGAACCTGCCGAACAACCTCTTATGGATGTATTGGTATGTGAGTTAACTGTTTTGTGTTAGTGAAAGTCGACTATTTCTCTTGTTAAAACAAGCACACTGACAAGATAAGCTGGTACTGTGTAGTGGAAAAGCACCATAAGTTTGCTGTGTGAAGTTGCTGTTTGTTTGAAATAACAAACCTGTTCACCCGAAGGAACACTCGACGAAGTGCTTTAGAAGACATCCTGTCATAGCTTTTTGGTAGCCTACATAATGGCTACCGTAGATGCAACACACATTTGAAAAAGCCAGGCGTTAGAGAGCACAATTCGTTTGAATGCAAAATAGGGCTGCACGATTAATCGAAAAAAAAAATCACGATCTCGATTCAAACATAAATGCGATCTCCTTTCTTAATGATGGCGATTCACTTCCATGTATTTCCCTGCATTCAGATCATGCTGCATTAACGCGTTATATTGGTCACACTCACACAAAAACAAAACAATAATTCACAAATCAATCATGCGGACGTTTCATCAGGGAATGTCTAAATTAAAGTTGTTGCACGTGAGCAGCGCATATTTTTTTTGGGCTTGCATGTTAATCAAAGTATTCACCGGGAGCAGGGGCAGCGCGTGAGCAGCAGTGAAACGCGCGCTCAATTAAAGTGAAAGCACACTTTTGAGGGACAAAATTAATGATTTCACTCAAAAAGTAGTTTCACACAATGTCTAGTCAGTTTTAACAAGAACTGAAGTACCTTAAAACTTATATAAAAATAATAGCCGAGTCCCATAGACGCCTGTATCTTTTACACGCCTGTGTGGCTGCAGGTTTGGGTAAATAAAAGCTCGTCTCAAATAGGGCGGGTCTGTTTTTTAATTTCGGTTTGTTAATCTTCTAAAACCGTCAGATCGTCTGCTTTTTGGAGGCCGCTTTAGCACATATTAGTCCCGCCAAAGCCTAGTTTGATCGGCGAGTGATGATGTAGAATAGAAACTGCTGCGCTTGAAAGGGCGAGAGAGAGAGAGAGAGAGAGAGAGAGAGAGAGAGAGAGAGAGAGAGAGAGAGAGAGAGAGAGGTCTTCAAACAACACGGAAGTTTGGAAAACCGCAGTTTCACATAGAGCATTTTGGAGAGTTTTAGATATGACTCAAATATTTATAGAAGATTTAGGCTACCCATTTAAACTTGTTTGTAATTATTCAGTTTGGGTGAAAGTGTGATGTCTGATTATAAAAAAAGCTATAGTAAACTAGCCAGAAAATATTAAATATAGCCTACACTTACTTTTAGTTCATGACTAATACACAGACAGCTACATAGGTTAGCCCCAAAGAACCAGCTTAAACAATTTAGATTTTTTTTGTTACTGCACTTTATTAGACTGTCTTGTGTTTTTTTTTTTTTTTTTACTTGAGTGCAATACATTTTGGATGGAGAAAAAAAAAGAGAATCGTGTAAGAGAATCGAGATCTCAATTCCCATGGAGAAAAATCGTGATTCAAATTTTAGCAAGAATCGTGCAGCCCTAATGCAAAATACATTATCACCACTAGATGGGAGAAATTCCTACACATTGTCCCTTTAAGGCTGCACTATGTAACTTTAGGTCCTCTACATAGACTGTAAAAAAAGATGGACGACGCCCCTTCGCTCTTTTCCATCAGAGAGAACTGAAGCCGCCAGTGTCTCGATATGACGCGGACATCTTGGGACTTGAGTCTGCGCACTTGCCTGTTTCGGGAGCAGTCATGCGCAGTCGTGAGCAGGAAGTAAAGCCGTGAAATCAAGGCCGCGCCCTCATTCTCGCTGAATCAAACGCAAGCTCACGCCCCGCACTTTCATTAAGTGTCATCTGTCTGCTTCGTTCTTCTCCAATGATGTCTGCTGATTGCAGAACCTCGTTAAAATAAGGTAAACAACTACTAACAACTTAAAAGTCCGCTGGTGCTTCAGTGACTACCTCGCACAGAGAACCTGTCAATCACAGCTGTCAATCATGATGTCAGAGCACCGCTTTTATCATCACACAACTAACTAAAAACAAACTTATTTAAAAAAAACGAACACTTGAAATTACATCAACGTGATAGAAACTACAGTAAATGACAGAAACTATCTTTGGAAAAAGGATATGTGAAGTGTAATTTAATTGTTTAGTTGGTCTCGCATCCCATTGAATAACATGGGGAGGCGGGGGTTATGATCTATACTAGGTCCGGTCACAGGGGGGGCGATCGAGACGTTTTGACTTTTGAGGGCTTGTGCGGCACGCTTGGTCCTCTATCAGATGTGGAACATTGTTTTGGATTTGGTTTGGCTCGACAATTTGGTTAATTGTGGTTTGATGGTTACGGGATACTATATTAGAGCGGATGGACAAATAAATAATGTTTGCCTGTTTTTTTTGAGGGTTTTTTTTGGATTTGAGTGATCCATGGTCAATTTTTATTGTTGAATGTGACAACAAACTTTCAGCTTCAAGCTATAGACCTTATGCACCAGAGAAACGTGGGCGCCGTCATCTTTCGAATATTCTCTTTGAACGTCTGGTTTCGCGCTGTCGAGGATTAATTAGCTGGTGAAGTGGATTTACTTATTGTAGAGTTAACAAAAGTTATCATGAGCATTGTAATGTTTATCATAAGCAGATGTCTTAACAAATGTCGACCAGGAAATTTTTTACGAGCAGTTCATTCATATCTATGCAAGATCGCTGTCAAAATACAGACCAGAAGTCAAAAGACAACGAGCGCAGCACTGAAAAGGGGCGGGGCTACATAAGGTCTATAGACAGTCAAAAATATGTACAGAAACAGAATGGTCAGGAAGATGGCTTTTTGTTTTTTTTGCACTCTCTCATTAATAATATTTACAAAATATTATCGAAACAAAGTTAAATTGTGTAGCTTTAATACTTATGAACATATAAGGCACCCACCTCCCAACAATTCCATTACAGCTAAAATACTCCCATGAATGAGTAATCCTAATCTAAAATATTCTCATAAAGAAAATGTCCTCTTGAATGAAATGTGCTGGGTGTGTTGTCTCACCGAGTTTCAAGGCTTTAAACTCCGGGAGGTGAGCAGATGCACAGAGCTGATAGAAGATATGATAATTCCTCTCTTCATCCGCCTGGAGAACAAGGAACGCAAGAAAAACAAAAATAGCATATGAGATTATTTAATATCAACAGTTGGTTCCATCTGCAGGATTTTATAGCGTCACAAGAAAAACAGACGTTCAAAACAAATCCATAACTTTTCGTGAAGCTGCATGTACTGTACCCACTTAAAGTGGCACTATTACATTTTTTCAAATATTACCTTTCATGTAAAAGGTCTGCAAAGTTTCAAAGACCAAAAAGTCCACGACAAATAAAGTTATAGTCTCCTTTCTGCCGAAATGAGTCATCGGAAAATTCCAGCCTATGGTCTTCATTGGCTGCCCGCAAGCAACATCTACTTTGACCTGTCCTCAAACACTGTAGTTGTCACTGAGGCCTGGAAGAGTTTGGTTCGTGTTGTTGACGTGTCGAGAACATGCCGTTCAAAAGTATACGGACTCGTGTTGAAATTGATACAGTAAAACTGATGCCATCGTTGCTGGTCGTATCACTGTGAATATAAGTGCTGAGGAAGCCTCCGGAGCTGAAATTTAGATATGGTAATGGATGTTGTTTCATGTCATGTCATCAGACTGGGCCATCTGACCAATCAGAGCAGAGTAGGCTCTCGGAAAGGAGGGGTTTAGAGAGACTGAATATTCAAACGAATCGTTTTCAGACACTTCGAAGTGTTTTTTTGAATTTTGATGCGTGTAAACCTATGGTAGATGCCTCCAAAACAAAATAGGAACATTTCATCACTTTAGCATGTTTGAGAAGCACTTTTAGGGAGTATATGATCATAAAGTGTGTTAATTATGAAGTGTGTCGGTGTTGACTATGGCATTCCTGCTTCATCAAAGATAATAAACCTGACTTGTCAGCTTACTGTTCATACTATCAGATCTATTTATGAATAGATATTCAGAGCTTTCAATTAGCACCAAGTAAACCAAATATCCATAAGCAAAATCACATTTCACTTTGGTTTTGAATTATATCTGTGATATTATGGACAGAATATGGATGGACAGACACTCAATATATCATGCTAAATTTGTGATGAGTACAAAAACACCCTAAACACGTGGTAGGACCCACGAGCCAGTCAATGTGAACTCTTCCTGTCTAAGTGGGAAGTACTTGGCCAGAATAAGCTGTGAACAGCTGTGGATTAAGTGGGGCCAGTTTGCATAAATATAAACTTAAGACGGTCAAGCAGTTAATTAGGGCTAATAAGTCTTACTTCAGAAAAATCTACGTTTTTATGTAACTGACTTGAAGGAAAAAAAAATGTATGACTAAATTGTAAAACTAGTCTAAGCATTTTATGCAATCGGCCACTGACATCATTATGGTTTATGAGACCGAACATTCTTAAAGAGATAGTTCACCCAAAATTTTTAATTGGCATTAATTACTCACCCTCATGTCATCCTGAATCCATAAAACTTTCATCATCCGAACAAAAATCCGTTCATCATCCGAAAACAAATCTGTTCATCATCCGAACACAAATTAAGATCTTTTTGATGAAATCTGAGAGATTTTTGCCAGCATACGTTTATAAAGAGATTGTAAAACAAATTATTTTCTGAAGAGACTCACTCGCTTTATATGATGAACAGATTTTCACATTTTTTTAGGCTTTTCACATATAAACATTGATCAGCAAACAAACAGAAGCTCAACTGAACCTGCTTGACTTGCGAGAACAAACCTCTTGTGAAGGTCAAACGTGCTGCGTAACACACAAGAATAAAACTCATTGGCTCTCGCACGTCAAGTGAACATGCTTGAGCTTCAGTTTACCACAAACGAAATGTGTGTGAGTTTATGATGTGCGAGTTTATGAGTGAATGAAAGGGCTAAATTCAATATGTTTATCATATAAAGCGAGTCTCTTCAGAAATTTTAGACTAAACCGCTCAATTCATATGGATTTGTTTTACGATCTCTTTAAAGAAATACTCCACTTTTTTTGGAAGTAGGCTCATTTTACAACTTCCCCAGAGTTAAACAGTTGGGTTTTATCATTTTCGAATCCATTCAGCCGATTTTCTGATATTTAGAAGAATATCAGTAACCAGACAGTTTCTGGTCTCATTGACTTCCATAGTAGGAAAAAATATATACTATGGAATTCAATGAGACCAGAAACTGTCTGGTTACTGATATTCTTCTAAAAATCAGAAAATTGGCTGAATGGATTCGAAAACGGTAAAACTCGACTGTTTAACTCTGGGGGAGTTGTAAAATGAGTCTATTTCCAAAAAAATTGGAGTATCCCTTTAAGAACTTTTTGAAGCGTCAAATTGGTAGTTGCGTAGCTGTCAATGGAGGGACAGAAATCGCTCAGATTTTATACAAAAATATATTAATTTGTGTTCCGAAGATGAACGAAAGTCTTACGGGTTTGGAATGACATAAGGATGAGTTTATAATGACTCATTTCTTTTCATTTTTGGGTGAACTACCCCTTAAAGAACACTATTCTTTGTAACTACTATTTTCTTCTTATATTCTAAATTGAAAATAAAGGCAAGAATAATTTCTTTCTTAAGAGTAATTGAATAACTAATATAAATCAATAACTCTCCATTTAATGCAATCTGCCTTTTTGACCCATCAAACTATACCATAAATATATGAAAACTTATGGGGAAAATAAAGTATGCCTTTTTTCCCCATTAGATTATAATTTGAATTACTGGGGCAATGATCAAAAGAAAACTCTAGAAAAATATCCCTTTTTAAATACAATTCTGTTTAACACCTGCTACAGTTGTTAATAACATCGTTAAAGGAGAACTCCGGTCAATTTTAACATTGAGCTCATTTTTTACACAGTGTTATCGTCTTTTTCGCACCCTGTTGATTTCAATGGGGCATATTTTAAACCTGCTTTTAGCCTCTTAACATCCTTGATTTGTCATTATGAGTGCACAGCCATGTGAGATGATATTCACCAATAATCGCGTGGGTGAACTCGACAATCTACCACTGTGGGCTTCGACCGAAAACAGGAAGCAAATAGAGGTGTGTGAGCTGGCTGAATTAATATCATTTTTACTCATATCTTTCACATCTACTGCAGTCAGATTGACCGTGGTCACTCTTAATAACACCACTCACATGGCTGTGCACTCGTAATGACAGAGGCTAAAAGCAGGTTTAGAACTAAAAGCAGGCTAAAAGCAGGTTTAGAACATGCCCCATTGAAGTCAACAGGGTGCGAATTTTAAAAAGACGATAACACGGTGTAGGCAACACCGATTTTTGTCGTTTTTGTCTGTACTGACAGCACTCCAAATGTACAAAAAAAAAAATTAGCTCAATATTAAAATTGACCGGAGTTCTCCTTTAATTGTGCCAGGCAAAAAGCTCTGTCAATATACCCATCAAAACCTAATTTATATAGAAATAAGGAGTGTTCATGGTGAAAAGAAGGTTAATTATTTAAATGAAATACACCCATGACACAATACCAGCACTGACTGCAGATGGTTAGTGAATAAGACGCAGGATTTTGTGATGAAATACCACACACAAAAACGGTGCAACTGTCACAGTAATGCATGTTAAGCATGAACAAGCTTGCAAAATACCATTAAATTTACATACTTGCATAGAGTGCAATTCTGGTCTGCATCTGACAATCACACATACTTAACTCATCTGGAATTCCCCTAAGCACAACAGCAGTCTCTGTGAGTATATTATTATATAACACTGAACAGACATGTTTAACTCCATTATCCTCATTCCTGTCCAGCTTTAATCTCTCTGAGCTTTCCAGAAGGAGAAACGGCCACTGAATTCCAAACATGTTTCTCACACCTGGGCCAGATGAAGTCATTTATCTAGGCCTAATCAGTTTTGGGGCATAAATAAATAAATATCACATTTTTAATGATATATTATATCAATGAAATTTTTATATTTTGATATTTAGTTTATCCATGCTGTGCCAACAATATACACACTGAAACAGTCAGTTAAATGTCAGCGTATCAGTCTATGATTTCCGCCCTAAACCTAAAAAAAAAATCATTTTCTGCCAGATATTACCAGTTGCAGAAATTTTGGTGCATCACTATGAGGACAGCCATTTGTAGTGGTGTCCAAAAACCATAGTGGACGAGTGAACTCATTCATCCCATAATCCACCACAATGAGTGTACAAATGATATATACTCAACACCTTGAGAACACGATGCACTGACATGAGGCACCTCAAGCACACTCAGTGTCTGAATTCGTTCACTTGTTTTCAATCATTCAGTGTACTATACTAGCGGAGTAATGTCGTGAATAATGAATAAGGGGTATAGGGGACGATTTCGGATTTGCTCAATGAACAGCTTTCTTTAAAACCTAGTGAGCTGCCTTGTTGTCCACTGTTCTCCTTTGGTGACTGACTCTTCATAACCATTTAAAAAAACATTCCTCACTTGAAGCTAAACAAAGACTCGACTGACAATTTATTCCGAATAAGTGTGAAATTAGCATCTTGCTAAGCTAACAATATTATGTGTTACTAATAGCACACCGAAATATTAAAACAGTCCATTTTAAGTTTAATTTAACTGTATTTATCAGCACTGACTGACTGTCGATAATATTTTAATTGACATTTTCCTCGCTTCATCCACTATTTTGGAATTCATTTTTTAGCTAATCGCAGTACATTCTAGAATTTGGCCAGATAAAGGTATCGAAGGAGGCAGCATAATATTAGCTTAGCTCACTATAGTCCTTTCCACTAGAAAGTGCAGAAAGACATAGGAGCAGCCTTCAAGAAATGAAAATCATACTGTGACTTAAATCCCTGAGGTATCTGAGAGGAGCTAAAATTAGATCTGCCATAAGCAGGAAGTGCGGTGTGCTTCAGAGGGAGTGGCAGCTGCTCCTCTTTGTGTACACTGTCTTAGGCGGCCATTCTTCAAAGCAGTTTCAATTTAGTTATAGCACAAAATACATATGAATGAACACCAGAAGGATTGATGAAAGATCCAGAATAGCTTACTGAAATGTAAGCTATCAGTGTTTCAATCAGTGTTTCAACCGTAGAAGTGTGTCAAAACAGTCAGCTTGTAAATAATATGTCACTTAACATTACATTTACCTCAGAAAAGCCATTAAATATAGCTGGATAGTTGGTTGGAAAAATGAACTCTAGAAACGAACATTTTGTAAAATATGTGCAATATAACATATTATTTATATTTTTACATGTTTTTTAATATCGAATGTGTGTTTGAATACCTCAGTCAAGTTTTTATGACAACCACTGTTTAAGTATTTATGTTTCAAAGCACAAAGTGGAGTAGAAACATATACATATATATATATATATATATATATATATATATTTTTTTTTTTTACATAATAAAAAAAAACCATCAGAAAGACTCTAAAGCACATAAATACTTAAACGGTGGTTGTCATAAAAACTTGACTGAGGTATTCAAACACACATTCGATATTAAAAAATCGAATGTGTGTGAATACCTCAGTCAAGTTTTTATGACAACCACCGTTTAAGTATGTTTCAAAGCACAAAGTGGAGTAGAAACATATATATATATATATATATATATATTTTTTTTACATAATAAAAAAAAACCATCAGAAAGACTCTAAAGCACACACACATAGTTAATCTCTGGATCACTAAGTGTTTGATAACATCTGGTGGTAATTCTGAAAAACAGCAAGCTTTTGGTTTAACACTCCGAAGAAGAAACCACACATTCATTTCCAATGGGGAAGAAAAAAACTGGCATGGAAAATCACATTTGAGGGCAATGAGAGAAATCAACATTTCCATCTGAGAGGCACAGATTTCCATGATCTAGCATATTCTAGATTGATTCTTAAACATTCTTTTAATCATACCTTTGCTAAACGGATTTGTTTTGCTTCAGTAAAGTTCTAGGATGACCATGGCACTCTTTTAGATTATAAAGTTTTTATTATTTCATGGCTACACAGAAAACAAAGCTCAGAAATTGTCATGGTTATGACATCACAACATCAATATTTGACCACTAAGAGTTTTACATACAATACTATACTACATGTATGTACAGTATATATATATATATATAAACTATTTAATTCCAGATATTATGCCAAAGGCACTATTACAGTACTCTTTTCATCAGAAAGGTTAGCCAATCCTGACATATGTCAAGTCTTAAAGGTACAGTTGCAAAGAGCCCGTTTCATTCTAAATGTCAAAGAGAGGGTGGAAAATGGTCTTGATGAGTAATATTTTATGCTTGATAAACATTTGATTTAAGATTGCGGACCTTTTGGGCCAGAAAAGATGCTGAGAATGTATAGTATATGGTTAGTTTAAGATATAAAGGCCAAAGTGAATCTCCAAAGTGACAGAATTTCAATCATGCTCCCTCACCTGAAATACAACGCGCGATTTCTCCAACAGATATGTCCTCATGTTCGCACCAATGATGTGATACCTCTTATCAAAGCCGATCTCAATGTATTTCCCAAATCGACTGCTATTGTCATTCCTGGTGGTCTTGGCGTTACCGATGGACTAGAGATGGGAACAGAAATGACATCAGTTTGAGTGCAAGTACTGGACTGACCTGGGGGCTTCTTTGTTGTTTCAGTTAGAAGAGAACAGGGTTAAAAGTTTAAGGAGCACACAGAAAGGTAATTGATTAAAAAAAACAGAGTGACAGGAAGATCAAGTATGTGGGAGATGACATAGAGCGTCTCTGGGTCTCTACAGCAGGTCAGGAGGTTGATATGGCCTCCCCCACAGAGCAGAAATCTGCTGAGGAACTCGGTCGAAATCAGAATCAGCAAGCAACAGAGCTTCTTACTGGAGCAGGGTGTTTATAGGGCACAAATTCATTAAATCTGGCAAAAAAATAAATAAAATCCTAACCAAGCTCAGATCATCTGTGTTTTTGAGGTGGTTTGGTTTTTAATAGTTTATATCGTTTTGTTATTTAGCTCTGAACAACGGTATGCATCATCAATGGGAGTTAATGCCTGTAACTAGGCACAACCAACAGCATGAGTTTGGGGGTGGGGCTACCAGTCTGTTTGTCCAATGGTAGATTGGGGGAGTATTTTGGGTGGCGGAGTATAATATTTCAAATACTTTCACACAATATTTTACTATCTTTTTTATTATAAGGCTGCCAATATGCTCATGGCATGGGAGAGTCGGATATCAATTTTCAACAACTGACAAATATGTAAAAGTAAGGTATTTAGGGTAAAAAGCATACTTATTGTTAATGGTGTTAATTGTTTCTTTTTTTTTTTAAATATAAGTACAATAGTGGTTTACTTTGTTTAGCTTTTTACTTCTGGTGATTGACTTTAGGCCTCAAAATTATTAAAACTAGTCAATTGTGAAGGTTATCATGATGGACAAAATGTGTAAGAATCATAGTTTTGTATTTTCTGCGATAATCCAAAACCCAATGTAAAGATCCTATTGTCAGTCCCTCCAGAAAAACGCGATTATGCGATCGCTGAATTCAATGCAAAATCAGCCAAAGTCCGCATATTTATGCGGGGGCCGCATTTTTTCGAATAAGCCGCACTTTCGCCGCAAAAAATGCCAATTTCCATGCAAAATACGCGGGGCTTGCATGATTTCATAATCCTCGCATTTTCGTTGCAAAAAAAGTCACATATATCTTCGCAGAAAGTTGAAAAATGTTGCGTTTGCTTCATACAAGAGCAGCCATTTCCTCCTGTTTCCATGGGAACGTTATGAAGTGACGCAATTACGCGACGGGATAGCTCACAGCTGAGTTAAGACTCACGGAGGCGATTGACATCTCACAAATCGAACTCGTATAACTGTCTGTCACACGTTCTACCATCACATCGTTACTTAATAAACAAAATAAGATAAAAGAATAAGCATCAAACAGAAATTACCCGCACACATGGGGTGTTTGAGGCGCACACACTGCAGACAGTTCAGCGCGCAGCTCTTAAAGGGGCCACACCTTATTTACACTCGTTACAGTCTGAAATAAAACATTGCTGATTTTGTAATTGTGAAAGAGAGTCTATTGTGCACTGCAGTTATTGTTTGAATGTCCCTATTTTTACATTTTTTGGAATGAGATGTCTCAATTTCTAGGTTTTAAAATGAATTGCAACCTTGTCTTAAATTTGTCATCTTCATACAAATGATTTTGACTTTCCTATAAGAAAAATATCGATTTTTTCTATTATTAGGAAAATTTCATATTCATCAAACTAAGTGGAGTAACTCAAAACCCAACTTTGCTCATTTCAAAACAGCCTTTAAAATGTATTTTGAGTCTTTAAAATTAAAAAAAAAAAAAAAAAAAAAAAAAAAAAAAAAAAAAATCGAAAAGCCCAAAAGATCTGTATCTCTGCTAAAGGAATTTAATATGTCTGTGATGCCCTCTATCTTTTTTTTCCTTTTTTTTTTTTTTTTTCCAAATTATTGTTTCATGTTTTAGGCTACTTCTCAGATGTTATACTTATCAGAAAATGTGTAAAAGAAATGTCAAGAACTTGATATCAAACTCTGTGATTTTGAAAATGTAATAAAAATAAAACAAGATGAGAAATTAAATATTCCCAGCACTTTCTATGATGTAGTATGCTTGCTACATCATAGAAAGTAATAAGAAATGACTCTTTACATTAAGGTAGTAGCCTAGTGAGAACAGGGTGTTGGGGGAATCACTTTTTTTCTCTTTTTCATCAAACCGCAGTTTTTGCAAGTTCCCGCAATTTTTGCAAGTTCCCGCAATTTCATCGCATAAAATTGCATAAATATCCCGCATATTCCATCGCATTTTTAAAGAAAACGGGCCGCGTAATCAAGGATTTTTGCCCGCAACAATCACAAAAAAACTCCGCGTTTTTCTGGAAGGACTGTATTGTGCTTTTGTTGAGGGAACCAGGGTGATGCTAACTTTCGGGTTGGCCTACAAAAATACATCACTGCAGCACATTATCTGTGAAGGATAAAACTGCCTTTGAATTTGGCCAAAAGAAAGTATCATAAAATGATTTTTTAAATATATATATAATTTTATATAATTACTACACATAATGTTTGGAACATCCTTTATGTTTGGAATTCCCCCATGATGCTTTTACATGCCAAAATGTATACAGAGGAAACATAGTGATTTGGTTCTGTTTTAAGTATTTTGAAGAAATATGTGAGTTGAGGACAGCAGAGAAGGTCATGTGAGCTTTATGCTAACACAACATTTACTCTAATACACATGTGAGCACTCAAATAGACACACTATCTCTCTCTCTGCTGTTGTACTGAGTGAAATGAGTCCTGGGGAGATGAAGACCATGCAGTGAAGAGCAGATATAACAGTCTGAACAAGACACTCATATTCAGCCAGTGAACAGCTTTTAGTCTCCCAGCCCAAGGGCTTTGGCTCTCTGAGATATAAATGTCTGTATTATTAAAGACCTTCATGAAAACAAACAGCCCGAGTCTCAGCACTGATTCCAGATTGACGCACAGATCTAGTGATGAAGGAAAAACTCACCTCCATGATAGGGTTGGATGCCAGAACTTTCTCCTCTACATTGGCTTCACTGGCAGAGCCGCTGACCGTGGCAAAGTAACGCATGGCGTATTTTGCTGAAACAGTTTTCCCTGCTCCAGATTCTCCACTCACAATGATGGACTGATTCCTCTCATCCCTGAACGATGCAAAAATACAAATGAAATAAGTGCAAATAGATTAAGAAAATGTGGTGTTGTCAGTGGTTACTAGTGCCACTAGGACACTATTGACACCATTATATGAGAACTGAACTGAGTTTGACGATGACATCACTTTTTCTCCAGAGCGGCTATATACACTCACCTAAAGGATTATTAGGAACACCATACTAATACTGTGTTTGACCCCCTTTCGCCTTCAGAACTGCCTTAATTCTACGTGGCATTGATTCAACAAGGTGCTGAAAGCATTCTTTAGAAATGTTGGCCCATATTAATAGGATAGCATCTTGCAGTTGATGGAGATTTGGCACATCCAGGGAACGTAGCTCCCGTCCCGTTCCAACACATCCCAAAGATGCTCTATTGGATTGAGATTTGGTGACTGCGGGTGGGGGCCATTTTAGTACAGTGAACTCATTGTCATGATCAAGAAACCACTTTGAAATGATTCAAGCTTTGTGATATGGTGCATTATCCTGCTGGAAGTAGCCATCAGAGGATGGGTACATGGTGGCCATAAAGGGATGGACATTGTCAGAAACAATGCTCAGGTAGGCCGTGGCATTTAAACGATGCCGTATTGGCACTAAGGGGCCTAAAGTGTGCCAAGAAAACATCCCCCACACCATTACACCACCACCAGCAGCCTGCACAGTGGTAACAAGGCATGATGGATCCATGTTCTCATTCTGTTTACCCCAAATTCTGACTCTACCATCTGAATGTCTCAACAGAAATCGAGACTCATCAGTCCAGGCAACAGTTTTCCAGTCTTCAACTGTCTTTCCCATTCTGACATTCAGTTTGGAGTTCAGGAGATTGTCTTGACCAGGACCGCACCCCTAAATGCATTGAAGCAACTTCCATGTGATTGGTTGATTAGATAATTGCATTAATGAGAAAATGAACAGGTGTTCCTAAAAATCCTTTAGGTGAGTGTATATATATAAACCAATAACTTTTTTACAACAAAAATGAACCATCACTGAACTTAAGCACTATTTTCTAGATCTGCTGCACAGCCGAAAAAACTTTGTTGAATTATTTTCCTGTTATCACTCTAAAGCTGCTTTTATGCAATCTGATTTGACTTGGCTAGGTACCAGGGTGCGTAATACACACTAGAGTTTACACATTAAAAATGCTGAAAATCTATTGATTTGTATTGATGTATAATGGTGTATTGCAAAGACAAAGAGGAAAAACACAAGGATCAGAGAAAATGATGCTCCAACATGTGGAAACTGATAAAACTGTAGCTTGTGCTGCGACACAGGCATCCACTGATCAATGAACCTTACAGACAGACAGCTGCAGTAGTGCACTCAGTAGAGAAGGAACAAGAGTCCCAAGAAAACGAGCGAGAGAAACATAACCTTGGCTGGTCTATTTTTGGCTGGGCTGCAGTGAGCAACATCCTGACCTACAAACCTTCCCTTTAGATTGAGCAATATAGCTCATACTAACACAGAGACATACTCTATGCAAATATGAATGTTTGGCTGATGCAATGCAAGTGCAGCCTTTGTACCTAAAAAGGAGTTTTTGATTAAATGGAATGGATTTTGTCCATACAATGAAAGTCAGTAGGGTATAATAATAAGAGCACAGGTGTGCTGTCAGGTGTGACATCATTCAAACTTAAACTGGCCAAAATGACGTTTGCTTGGAGTTTTTGTCTGTGGTTCGAAACTGTCCAGACAACTTTGCGTTGGCTAGTAAACACCTTAGATCTGAAATTGGTCCATGACAAATAAGTAATAGGTAGGTGTACTTTGGGGCTCAGGCATGAGTAGGCTTACTAAAAACATGAACACACTGTAGTTGAAATTGAAGTTGTAATTATAATGCAAATTGTGATTTCCAAAACTGTAGAACCGGCGCTGTGTGCGTGTGTGAAGCTCCCGTCAAATTTACCATTGTTCTGCAACTTTTTTTCAGCTTTATATATAGCTTCACTATTGATAATAAACAATGGACCTTTTAGGTCCATGAAATTCACCACCAAAATAAAAAATGTGATCACATATTTTTGCTATGTAACAATAAAACCCTAAATAAATAAACCCTTCTTAATGGCTTAGTGAATCTCACAAAAAATATCCATTTCTCAAAGATGAAGATGCTTTATCAACTCATTATTCTTGTTCTGTGTTTGTTTTGTAATTGGCCCTGTTAAAGGGTTAGTTCACCCAAAAATGAAAATTCTGTCAGTATTTACTCACCCTCATGCTGTTCCAGAAGATATTTGGAAGAATGTTTTAATCAAACAGATCTCATTCCCCATTGACTTCCATAGTAGGAAAAAATACATACTATGGTAGTCAATGGGGAATGAGATCTGTTTTTTTTTTTTTTTTTACTCACCCTCATGTTGTTTCAAACCTCTATGTGTTTATTTGTTCTGCTGAACACAAAGGAAGATATTTGGAAGAATGTTTTAATCAAACAGATCTCATTCCCCATTGACTACCATAGTAGGAAAAAATACATACTATGGTAGTCAATGGGGAATGAGATCTGTTTGATTAAAACATTCTTCCAAATATCTTCCTTTGTGTTCAGCAGAACAAATAAACACATAGAGGTTTGAAACAACATGAGGGTGAGTAAATACTGACAGAATTTTCATTTTTGGGTGAACTAACCCTTTAACACCTGGTTAGGATGTAGGTGTGGGTAGGATTAAGATGTGTTTTGGTCGATCGGATCACAAGTGGACGATGCTAAACACAGGTGTAAATGGGGTCTAAAACATTTGAGCTTTTCTACTTCCAGAGGTAGTAGAAAACACATTAGACCAGATTGCTTTAGTAGTAAACAAAAGCTGATGCTCTCAGTAGGTCCATCGTCTCCATTCGTGTTCATATCTAAATGGCACAAGCACAAGCTTATTTTAGATTTTAAAAAAAATTAAATAAAAAAACATACAGTACATTTACCTGCCAATAGACCCTCTCCTCGAAAAAAAATCCGGACAGAAGTGGTTGAAAGTGGACAAAAGAAAACTTGTAATACAGTCAACCAAGACACATCTTAATACCAGGTGTAAACTAGGCCATTATGAAAATAGTGGGCAGCACATACTATTTATCTAAACATCAACATGGGCAGTCAAGTATTTAAAATCTGTTATTACCCCTAGAACCTTTATTCAGGAAACTATCAACCAATGACAGTTTAACTAACTTAAACTTGCTCAGCCCCACCTGGCCATCTGTTTGTAAGCCTCTTCTGCCACTGCGAAGATGTGAGGGTCCATGTCGCCCATATTCTGCCCGCTGTACGCATTAATGATGTCGGATCCATAGATGGGAAGCGTCTCATATGGGTTTATAGCGACCAACACAATACCTGGGTCAAACGATAAAAGACAATTGAGCTCAAATATTTCTAGACACATTAAATGTGTGTATGTCTTCTTGTGTATGTTTACCGCAGTAAGTGTAGATGAGTTTGGAATCAGTGAAGCGCACTTTCAGGTTGTGTAACACAGCAGGCTCGTGAAGGTAGCTGAGAGCCGTCAGGTCATTTTCTCCCACCAGGATATCTGGGTTACGCAGATGTGGCAAGTTGTTCGTCTTGGGGTCCAATTTGTACTCCAATTCCTGAATTACACAATTCACAGCACAACAAATTATATGAAGTTGTGTTTTGAGGGGAACTATCATATCTTCTGAAGACAAACAATGGTTTTCTGTGAGGAACAGGCCGTTTCAGGATATTAATTTGTTGCAATTGGTTGTACGCCACAGTAAAATTTGACATTACTGAATTCTGAGGAATCAGGATAATACAGGCTAAAACTAATGGATAGATCCCCCCAAAATGCTATCCGTCATGTGTTCAAGCTCATGTCATTTCAAACCTATATGAATTTCTTTGTGGAACATCAAAAACGACATCCTGAAAAATGTTGTTAATCATACAGTTTTTGGGTACCATTAACTTCCATTGTATGAAAAAAAAAACATTTCTCTCTCTTTTTTGTTTTTGTTTTTTTTCCACAGAAAAAAGGTTTTGATTGCCATTAGGGTGAGGAAATTATCACTTTTGATTTTGGGTGAACTATCCCTTAGGTGAACTCACACAAATCCCTTGGGAGAACTCACACAAAACTAACAAATGACTTCAGTCTGACATACTTAATAGAGCAAAGTCACATTTTTTTGTCATTTTATGGAGCTGGACAATTAATATTCACTTGCATTATATGGGAAAGATCTAGGTAAACAATCTGCAAAACGTCTTTTGTGTTCCACTAAAGAAAAAAAATAGATTTTGAACAGCATCAAGGCTGGAATAGAAATATGCTAGTAGCGACCACCACACTGAAGTTTGTAGGTGTGTTCGACTTGAAGCTAATACTGTACCACAAGAGCGTTTCGAAATCACTCTCGCAATATCGAACACTCCAACAAACTTCACCTGAAAGAGACCGATGGCCGAATTTATGGCACATGATAAATTAGCATTAGCATGCCATAGATAGCCAATAAGCTTTCTGTTGTCTAGGGAAGAAGAGAAAAGGAAGAATAAAGACAGAAGTAATGTATTGAATAGACATTTTATCTAATTGCATAATAGTTAGACGATTACATTGTTTTTTATGAAAAAGCTAGCCTTCCAGCTAGACATAACGTCAGGTTTTTTTTTACCTTAAAAAAGAAACATTTTATGTAGAATTCACTTTTAAAAAGATCTACATTTCTCGGTTTCATCCATCAATATGAAAAACGTGTTTAATAGAAGATTGCTGCCATCTACTAGAAAAAAACGCTTTTAAAATTATTTATTTTTAATTAAACCGTATGTCAGAAGTGCTCAATGAATACTTGTTTTGTGCATGAATTAGCGATCGCCTTTTAAATTAACGGTCAATTAATTGTTAACCTTAATACTGCAATTTACTACTGTCACGGTATGTTGCCAAAAAATCCTCACAAAGACGAAATAACAAGAGAAAAGTACTTAGTCCAAATAACGCTAGAAGAAAAAAGGAAAAACAGGCTTGCAACACATTACCAACATGACATTCAGACAGGACAAAGAACTCAGGAAACATGGGACTATAAATACTAAACCAAACGAGGACTAATGAACTAATTAACAAGGGACAGGTGAATGAAATGACTCAAAGAAACACATGGGAAAACTGGGTCAACTGAAAATGAGCAAAAAGAAGGTGAATACAAAGACAAAACATTACATGAAATGGACCAAAAATGGAACTGACACGGAGTAAAAAAAAAAAATTTATAATAATAATTAAGTGCCCATGAGATGGACTGTAGAAATTTCATTTCAAATTTAAAGTGTGACAATTGGATAAAAAAAAATGTGACCACTGAAAAATCAAATGATCATTGGATCACAAAAATACGTTGAGAAGAAAAGATGCATACCTAATTATTATGCACATCTAAAAATAAGGTGCTTTTCAAACCAAATCTGTTTGTTTTTTGAGCTGTGTAGTTATGTACATTTAAGTTAAGTGGAACAACTTGTGGGGAATTTCTACATTATTACTGACATCTTTGCAGAGTTTATTTCATGTAAACAGCGCTTTAACAGCGCGATACGTCATGTGTTAGCTGGGCAGGATTTGCATGCAGGTATGATGTTCATTATATGTATCAGGATCAGTGTCACTGTCCATATATTTTATTAACAGTTCACTTCATGTTAGTATTGTTTTTACCATGGTAACTGTAGTCTCTAACTGTGACTTTTTTCTGATGACAAATACTAACTTATGTATAAACAAAGACTATGAGACATCTATTTATTAGCATTACTATTCATTCACCAGTGTTATTGATATTCTTACAATTAGGTAAAGTGGGACGGTACTTGTGTGAATCAACCATTTTTGAGAAATACATTTTGATTCTAAATTTTGAAATATTTATTTGAATCTTGATTCAAATTCCTACAAATTTGGGTAGTGGTTTAATGACCATGTTTAAACTAATGGTTAATGATCTGGGCTGCTAACACAAAGGTTGTTGGCAGCCCATTGTACGGTGAGTAATGTTCACACAAATAATCTGATGAGGCTTATAAAAACTCATTACTCAAATATACACACACTGACCTTTCCATCCTCTAGCTGTAGTTGCAGTACTCCGTCTCCTTGTCTGTAGTCCTTGGTGAGCTCTGCTGACCTCCACACTTCCTCTACATCCGGGATCCAGACCCGGGCATACTGTACAGACAAAATTATCAGTTAATATCACTCGACAACACAATGTTCCTTCAGTATTGCTCTTTATCTGGTTGTTTTAACACACATATTTGAAAGCATTGTGATTAATTATAAGAGCAAGTCTGCTCCTAAACATGTCAGTTGATGCAGAAAAAAACATTCAATCACATGACACAGGAGCATTACATAATGCAATTATGCTATTTTTAAAGGTTCCCAATTTTCTGCACATCACCTCATTTCTCATTGAGTCTCAAAATGTTTGTTCGAAGATTCAGTCTCTCTAAACACCACCTTTCCACAGGCTTACTCTGCTCTGATTGGTCAAATGGCCCAGTCTGTTGTGATTGGTCCACCACTTGGACCAAAGCCCTTGTTGGAACTTTGTCATTTTACTTTTACAGACATCTATACACTTGTCTTGTTTCAAGTCCAAAATCTAAAAATATCAAGATGCATTTATCAGACAAGTAAATTACTTGAGATATAATGTTTCATTTTCTGGAAGAAAACAAAAATCAAAATGAAGCGAGTTATTGATAAGAAAAACAATTTTAATTCAAACAAAAACAAGATTATTATTATTTTGTTTACCCCATTGGCAGATTTTTTTTTTTTACTCCATTGGCAGATAATTTAGCTTGAGTAAAAAACTCACTTCATTTTACTCATAGACCCTTTTACAGTTGGTAAACATGGTGACGTTTTTATGTGGGCGGAGCTTAGGTGGAGGCAGAAAGATCCATCTGGCCCCTTCACTAACGCTAGTTAGCAAGGATTGTTAGCTTGTTTTTTAACAATGACTGGAGAAAATCCGATATTATCTTAATGTGTAAGGTCACTCAGTGTCCAGGACCGCGATTGTTATTTCCAAAAGTTATTTTTAACGGACGGAACCAGATTGGCCGACCTGTAGCCGCCTACACGCTCACTCAATGCATGGATCGGCGCAAAAGGGGTCTATAGTAAACTCATCTTGATTTAAGAATCTTTAGATATTTGGACTGGGAAAAAAAATTGCAGTGTATTACACGCAGCAAAGGTAATATACAATAAAGGATAATCGGGCACTTTAAGATCAATTAAACATTTTAAAGAATCATGTCATGCCATACAACATACTCAATGCAGTGCTGAATGTTTTATTATTATTATTATTATTTATTTTATTTTTTTAGACTTATAGCTGGCTTATAATTTGCATTAGCTGTCATCCTGCCTGATCTGCCTCATCACGAAGTCATAATTACAACCGTAATAATAGAGACAGCATGAATGCAGTCATGACAACAGTAGACAAACAGCAGTTCATCTGAGAGAACAACCAGAACCAACCAATAATCCTGATTATACATGAATGACTGACCCTATAAACATGAAGACAGAAACAAACAACGACACTAAAGAAAAGAAAGTAGTTCAAATGAGCATATTTATGACCACTAGCTGCACACTAAGTTAAGGCCTCAGACTGTGGTCCATTATCCATAATATTACTAAAAAAAAAATTATACAATATTGATACAAATGCTTTAAAGCTGACACAAAATATAGCCTAAAGAGAATAAGTCAGCATGGATGATCTATTTCAAACAATTCTCGCTCCTACAGTGTGTGTTAAGCGTTTCAGAAGCAGCCTGACCATGTCAGCAGTGGTTACGTCAGCGTTAGTCACGCGGGCCAGATGGGAATAGTCCACTCCAGGTTTCCACACCATCATTATAACTCAATTGTGTATGAGCCTCACACAGACACACTGCCCTACACCTCAGAACACTGCTCATGCATTTTTAACATCAAAGTACCAATACTAGTGAAATTTCACAATACTATCCTACAGGAAAAAAGTATAAACATTATCCTTTAAAAAAATAAACAAATTAAAAAATAGAATTATTTCTCAATTAAAGCTCAGTGTGTAACTCTTTTAGTTTATTCTTAGCTAAAAACACTTAGTTCTTTCAAAAACATATGTGCTCAATAATGTATATTTTAGGGCTGTAACGATATACGATATAAAATCGAAATCGCGATACTCAGGTCCACGATCCTGTATCGCGATGTGAGAAGGCAGAATCGCGACACACCCCTTCCACCTCCCAGTTATCCTTCCCGTCCAGATCCAATGCTACCACATCTTTAAATTACTAAATATTATTTGAAATTAACATTATAAAATATGTAGACCAACATCACAAAACTAGTTGAGGGTAAATTAGCAAAACTTAAAGCCATCAAAATAATACATTCTCAGAAAATGCATTTAATAGCAATATATTGACACTTCTGTTTATATATCCATAGCCTACTCCCTTAATAAAACCCAGTACGTCCAGACATTAGAAAAATATAAGTCTACACATGGATTTTATATTTAATATGAGGGGAAATACACACGCGTACACGGATGCGACACAAAACATCTTTAATAGGCTATTTAGGTGGCAAAAATATAGCCTATATTTTTATAATTCTGTAAATTACACTGTACAAACCAAAAGTAATAGGCTACCCACCGGATGAAGGGTTGGCTCTCCCCAGAACAAAATATTTATTTTGTTTTATTTTTCGTGTTCGCGAAAAAACACACAAAAAAAAAAACATGACAGTTCTCTGGAAGCGGCACTAAAACTTTCAGAGAATTCAAATAGAAAGCACAAAGACTTACTTTAAATTGAATTTCGTTTTTTTATTAATTGTATCTCAATTTTAATCAATGTTTCATCAACCAATTGCCTGGATTTAATAAATAAGAAAAAAATATAGCTAGCCTATAGATAATCACGACATCGTGGTGCCGGCGCCTGAACTGGAGCTCGTCTCATGAATCGAAACCTAAAAGCTAGACCTGAGAACTATATACATCTATATTGAAATGTCTACTTTTAAAAAGAACAATTCAAAACGAAAGATAACTGACTGCTCTCTGCTTATGTAATTTGTATGAAAAGTGCATTTCTCTTTGGCGCGTTCACTTCTGCGGAGGCTGTCGCGGTTATGGAATTTCCCTTGCGGTAAGGTTGAGTGGCTCAATACAGCGCGCGATATGCCCTATTACCGCCATTTATTTATTTATTTATTTAATTTATATGTATTTGTTGCTATATAAATATTTACTTCGTTCAAGTAATAAAGTATTCTCGTGAGTGTATAATATGCCATTGAAAATACATATGGGTATGGGGTTCTAATGTCGCTCTCCGTGTTGCCCCTCCATCTTGAAAGTACATTAGCCAAAGAGGGACATAACCGTTAATTCAAGCTTCGCCTTTCGCGTTTATGTTTGATTGAACACTCATGGACGAGGTCAAACCGGAAGCTATGATAATCTTGGACTACACTGGCCACCGTAGAAGTTAAAACGAAATCGGAATTGAGAGGAACAGAAACTAACATTCACTGGATGGTCATATATCTTTTCACCGCTAGATGGGGGTAAAAATCACACAGTGTAGCTTTAAGCATTATGCTTTTATTCTGTTTCCAGTTTTTGATGCAATTCAAATAAGTTTAAGGGATAGTTCCCCAAAAAATAATTTCTCACCCATTTCTCATCCTGTCTGTCAAAGACTTTCATTCATCTTCAGAAATGAAGGTCTTTTTTGATGAAATCTGAGAGCTTTCTGTCCCTCCATTGACAGCTACGCAACTACGACTTTGACGCTTCAAAAAGTTCATAAAGAGATCATAAAACAAATCCATATGAACTGAGAGGTTTAGTCCACATTTTCTGAAGAGATTCCATCGCTTTATGTGACAAAAAGAATTAATAACAGAATAACAAACATAAACAGAAGCTCAACTAAACCAGTTTGATGCGAGAGAACAAACCTCTTGCGGAAGCTCACACATGCTGCGCAACATACGAGAATGCACCTCATTGGTTCAAATGTACTACGAGAATGAACCTCATTGGCTCAAAATGTGCTGAGTAACACACGAGAATCATGAATCTCATTAATTTTTTACAGGTCAACCGAACATGCTTGACCTTTTTGATGAATGTTTAACCTAGATGTGAATAAAGGCCAAAATGTGTGTGTATAGATTGTTGTATGATAATTCATCGTCGCCCGATTTAGATTTTTTGATGGCTGGTGGCCAAAGCATTTATACTTAATATTTAATATGATTAATTTAGTGAAAATTAAAATGCCATCAATATGACCAATTGGATATAGCACAGTATAGTTTGAAATCAAGGGTTTCAAGTTTGCTTGAAACCCATTCATGCAGTCTACAAATGCACTTCACAAGATGGATTCGACTTGTTTATTAGATATTCAAAGATTTGAATATAAATGTGTATTTGCTAAATGCTGACAGTAGATGTGATAGTGTTATTGTTTACCTTTCTATTACTAATAATATAAAAGCAGACACAATGATAATAACGTATTAAACAGAGAACAATGAAGATGGAGAATGGAGCGCTGTGTGCTCAGTTGCTGGCGTTCTCAGCGATGTCAAAATAAAAGTCCCACTTCCAACACATCAACCAAACAGAAAAAGGTGTCGGCTCGGCTGATGTCGATATTTAAAAAAAAAAAAAAACCTGCCAATCATTTGTCCACTCCACCACTAATAACAACAATTATAAATCACATACGGTTCAGAAACAATACGCAAGATGCAGGGACTTGTGTGTTTGTTTAACCTGAGTCTCTGGAGAAGACCATCCCAGAACTGAGCTCCTAGCAACAGAGAGACAGGAACAAGAGGAGAGAGGATAAAAATAGCATCTCAACAAGATCACACACACACGGTCACTACACCCGACACAACTTGCTCCTCTCTCCCACTTGGTCACATTCACACTCAATGACGATTAGCCTACCCATAATGGTAGAAAATTGAGGAAGGATTACGAGACAATGTGAAAATCAGTATGTGTGGTTGGAATACATCTGAGAAAACGCGATAATCCTCATGTGACACAACCACATGATTCAGCAGACAGAGACAGACATACACGCACACACCTGACCCAGCAACTAATG